CGACTGTTGGGAAAATGGGTTTTAAATAAACTGCTTCAGCTTTTAATACTTGGATATATTATTCCTCTACGCATCGGAAGTGACTTCCTTCTGTTATTAATGCCTTGAGAGGACTGACTCTACCGGGCACGCAGAGCCGGTGACACGAGGCACCGATGACCTCATCTAACAGGGGTGCGTTATCACCTTACTCACATAAACAGTGTGAGAAACGGTATCTCCGTTCATCAAGAGAATAAGAGATTAGTTTTTGTTTGGTTTACGAGTAAAACTAACAACGACTTTGTAAATTCGTTGAATTGTACATTTTACCCTCTTTGAAAAAATTCCCATAGCTAAATAACATTAAAGATCCTCAAGGACGTAGCTACTTAAAAAAATCAAAAATTAAACGACAGAAAATGATCGAAATCGTAGACTTTTCTCGGTCAGGTGACTGTTTTAAGACACTGTGCGACGTTACGCCATAGTAAAAAGTCGCGGCACGAAGCGGTGCATTAGCGAGCGCGTCGTATTTCTTATTATCCCGGCGCAAGGTGTACGCTCTCTCTTCCTTCCTCCGCGTCTCGCGTAGTTCTCCTCCGGGCGTCGTCAATGCGGGCGGTCCGGAGGAGTCAGCCTAGTTGGCCGGTGCAACATTGCGTTCGTGCATGCACCTCGTCGAAGCTTGTTAAGGAGGCCCTTGTGTCGTCCGCATTATCGCGGCTGCCGGGCGCGGCGTTTCCTGGATCGTCGCGTGCTCCGATCCACCTTAAACCTGGCTCCGGTCTTACGTCAGGATGTTTGTTGTTTCATTAATGAATATCGCCGGAGAACTATTTCCAACGAGAAAACGAGATTCTTTACTTGGATTGTGAAGAATGTGATCAATGTGACACAACTGCAAATTAATTAAGTGCAAATTTGCAGGGATATTTTCATTTGGTAGGTCGGAAGAATCGATTGGAATTATGTTAGTTATTTTGCAACAGTAATAATTAAAAAGAAATAATTGAGCATTAGATAGTGTAATATTTCTAATCATTCTTAAATTTATCGTTTGAGTGATTAGTTGAGTGTTGGAGTGTTATGAGGTTTTTCGTGTAAACATAAAATTCGTGCAATTTTTATTAGGTAACGGTCAAGATGAACCTGAAGTTTCGATCCAGTACTTGGTAATTTAAGTAATATTAAATTCCCGGTCTGACTGAAAAATAGTGGTTTAGGTGTGTAAAAGAAGTTGTAGTTAATGAAGGAAGTTAAGTTAAAATTTTCTTTAATTTACAACGAGTATGGAATTTCAATCGTTCCAGAATTTTTCTGTGTACCGATCTGTTGAAGTATCCAGGAAGCTTATCGTTCGATTCACTTCTTTAACAAGGGCGGAGATGGAAAAGTAGATAGGATAGGGATAAGGAAGGTTCACGATGCGGAAGAGTTATTTAGCATAGTTGAGACGTACGCGACCGTGTGTTACGCTGAGTGACAGGGATTAAATAATGAAAGGCGATCGTGGAATCGCGTGACAAGGAAGAGACGGGTGAGGAGATACAGACGTTGATGCACAGACAGCGCAAGACTATTTAGATGACTCTTTGAGTGACGCAATTCAATCAATTCCTCGACCACATGAACGTTTTTACTCTTTTTGTTCGAGGATTAGTGAAATTTGCTTAATTAAATTAAAATATTAATTTGCATTTTTTACTTGATTAAGAATGCATAATTCATTTCCTTTGAAAATAGAAAAAAGTGGATTTTAACAATCTGCATTATTAAAAACTTACTTAGTTAATTTGAAAAAAAAAAAAAAAAGAGAACGTTCAATGGAATTAACATTTAGTTTTTGTTCATTTCCAATTAAGAAAGAAAAAAAAAGAAATAAGAAAGAAACTCGGTTAAATTGTGCATCACATTATTTATCATTTTTAATTTATGGTTTAAAGACACTGAAAAGTTGTTTTCACTTAAATTGTGACATACAGCTATTTTTCAAAAGTATAAGTATCATTTTGTTGATATTATTATTCCTACATCTTTACTATATCACAGTACACATTCACACTAAACGCCATAAAGAACCTTCATTTTTCCGCCATTTAACGACATCAGCGCCGCCTACAAATTTATAATACCTAATTACATAAGGCCCCACGTTGAAAACTTTCTCAGCGTCACACGCAGCCGCACTTATCGTCCTAACGACGCTAGTTAATCAGCGAGAGACGCTGGAAGAGTTTACGCGTGTGAAGCAACGTGGACGTTGCGCGTACGTGGGAAATTGTAAGGTGATAGCTCGCTCGTTGTTACTTTATTTCGGCCCTGTGAAACATATCACCCGCGGGAGACGCGTGCTTTCTACCCGGCGCGATTATAATATAAATATCGTCAACATTGTCGACAATGTATACGTCAAGTTGTTCGATTCCGGTTGGCCACGACAGTTATCGGCGAAGTCAGGCATAATGCCAGATTTTCATGAAGCTGGCTGGCTTCGCTCGAATGATGAGTCTGAAGGAGGCACGAGGAAGTACTTTCGAATCGAATGGAACGACATCGAAAGATCGCGTGTCGAATGAACGGTGGCTATTTTTGCGTCCGACCACGACGCGCTTCTCATTCGATTTTCCACGGAAAAGAAACTCAAGCCTGGTCGTCGTCGACTTTAAGGCTGTCGTACGTTAACTTTTACGCATTTCGCTCGACTATAAAGTTAATTTTATTCATGGTACAAAGTTAACCACGAGGAATTGTTATAACGGTTCAAAGTTGACGTTTTAGTGGTAATTGAAATTTCCCCCCGTGGGATGTTCCATCAATTTTACGAATGAATATCTATAAATCATGCTAATTATTTAGCAATCATTACCTGTTGTACTGTTTAATTTATTATTGCCGTTTCTCGGTACGAACTATTATTATACTGGTGTATTAAATCATCGATTTAGTACCCTTTACTGTGATAGTTTCCATTCATGCGAAGTATGGCTGTTGAAATTAAGATTGGGGTTTCTACAAGTAATAATCTTATATGAAGAAGTAACAAGAAAGTGAGGAATATAAATGGCCACCGTTTATTCGATACGCGGTCTTCCGCGTTGTCGATCAACGCTATCGTCTCATTCAGTCCACAAGTACTTCCTTATGCCTTCTTCATACTCATCATTTGGTCAACTTATATCATAAAATCCAACATCGCACAAGTTTGTAGCATTTTCAATAATTTGATACATAACCGTGTATACACATTTACATCACGTATTTTTACACCTTTAACGATACTTACACCCTTATTTATTTTAACTGCACAATATTTTTCTAAGCACGTATGAAACGTTCAATAAAAAGAAAGTTCCATTAGATGAAATGGCAAATTCCTAGCTGTAACTAACCTGACCTCTATCAAATCACTCCACCCATCACCGCCATTTTCCTTGCTCACTATTTTCAACTCCCTCTATGTAACATTGTAGTATCTGTCGGTAATTTTTCCCCCCTTCCCGTGGCCACCCTGTTCTGCGCCTGATCCGCTTAGATCGGCATCCTTGGTTGCGTGCTAAGGGGTCTTAAGATAGACCGCGATCAGCTGAAACGAGGAAGTGGCGGGTATCCAATGGACCGGTATCGTTCGAGCCGAGAACGTGGAGGTCGCGCGCGAGCATCACTTTACCGTGCTCGTTCGAAACACCAGTGTGAAAGAGTAGGAGAGAATGAACCTCGAATACGTGTGAGATAGAGGGGATATGGAGACCGTGTAAATGAGACGAATTATGAGAATAGGATTAGCAATCGATGGAATCTCGGCTACAGGCGAATTCACAATAGGTTAGGAACATACATTACGGTAGTTCCTGGGATAGTGTAACTGTTTTGCCCTGGTTTACTGTAACATGAGCTATCCTTACTACACGTTTGTGCCGCTTCATTGGCACGAGCTTTCAACACACATGAGTTCGGCATAAAGAATAAGACAGGTTATAATGAAAATTAAAATTTTTGTATTTTTCGTTACGTATTTGTGAGAATGTTATTTTTCTGTTTTATTGTATAATATTCTTTCATCATAGGAATCTGAAAACGGTTTATTTGGTTGCGTAAGCGACGGGTTGGTAATTTAGGCTCGGATACGTTTAAACGAAGAGAAAAGTTCGATGCAATTTACCATTGGTAGAACCCGTTTCACGAAACGGACAGTGGGCCGCTCGTAAAAGTATCTCAAACCCTCACCGTTCGTACTTACCGAACGTTGGTGATCTGGTCAAATCCGGAACGTGGACCGGTGGCTTCTCATTCGGATCGCATTTCCAAGTTGCGTTACCGGTCAATTTATCACTGGTCGCCTGCTATCTGTGCACTCGTTACGATTTATCGAGGGGACATTGTATTTAACGTAACGAAAGTGCACGAATCGACGCACGATTTATAGTTACATAATCGCTATTTTGGGGATGATTTATCACTGCTAAATTGGGTTACCATCTACGTTTACCGACCGAGACTTTCACTGACAAATGTTTTTTTTATCTCTGGAACGGTCTGAGAAAGTTTCTTAAATAAAGCCTTATATTTTTATTGGAAGATAATTTCAAATCATTTATTAAAGATCCACATTTATTCTATTTCAATATATATATGTGACGTTTTACGAATATCATGAGTAGAGTGATAATTACTGAAATCGATCGATACCGACGTTTTCAATCTCCCGCCACCGTTTATTAGGATAGACAGCCCGACCATAAATCAACGTTGCCAGCTTTTTTCACGGTGCGCCGTCGATTATCCTCATTGGTCAGTTGGGTATATATACTGTGCGTGTAAGAATGCGTTCGTGCGAGATTTCTCGTGTGTTGCGCTTTACGAACATAGGACCACAAGGACATCGTTTAATCGTGCGAGTTTCTATTTTTAAACAGTTGCGTGTTCTCGTACGAGAGTTGAAATCGATCGGGACAGTGGAAAAGAAGCCATAATCGCGTTACGCGGCGAAACAGATCCTTACAGAGATAGAGGTTGGAAAAATGGCGGCGTCTATGGCTAGTAAAGCGACGATTTCGAAGATGTTCACGATGGAAGGATATCGTTTACGATTGTGCTCGACACCTTTCGCAGTTGTAACCAGAGATTGCGAGTGCCAGGAGGAACGTTTAGGTTTGTTCACATATGTGAACGATCCCGCTA